ATGATTGAAATGTCCTCATTTGCTTCAGTGTTGAAGGCTTTTTTTGTGTATGTGTGTATATACGTTTTTTTTCCAGCAGGACTTTTCCTCCGGTAGATGTATAAGAAATTATGCATCAGACAAAAGCCTCATAAACTGACCATTTGTCCTTTGGACACAATAGCCTGCCCAGCCCCTCTGCTCCTCCTCTCCAATTATGTGTGATTAGTCTCAGTGTGTTGTGTCAAGAAGGGGGAGTGTGCTGAGTGCTTATTATCTGTTTAGGTACAAGAAGAGCACATTTAGGTTCTGACTATGAATGGAAAGTGAGCCTTTATCAGGACTAAAATCTAAATGCTACTATCCTGGAAATTGCTTTTAAAAAAATGCATCCTTTCTGATAAATCCCGAGAAACACTATAACAACTAGGGGATTTTGTAGTGTAATCAAACTATCTCCCTGGAATTAGTTTATATTGTGATATGTTGTGGCCCAAGTGTTTGATAAACGTTTAATGTCACTTTTCTTGTACTGGGAAAGACAAAAATCCCACAAAGAAACAGGAGCGATTTCTTATTTTCTTAACAGTTTAATAGACCGTTTTAATGACTTCTCAGAAAAACAACCTGGATCACTAAAGAATCCTGTACAGTTTCTTAAACCACACCACTTTTTAAATTATGAAAAAAGAGAGAGAGAGGCAGAGAGCGTGACTGAGAGAGGGAAGTACTAGATGCAAGGAAGTGTAGAGGATCATGCTGAAATACATTAATTAAAGAACCGCATTTCAGCAATAAGTGTTCTTCCGTATTTAACAAATTGGGCAGCATGTAAACCACGAGCTCATGAAAGTCCCTTTCTCTTAGCTCTTCTTCTCAAACAAATTTCTTCACTACCGGTTTGCATGTCCTTGTATTCAATACTTTTTATGCTCCATTAGAGCACCTAGATGGATCTCAGAAGGCATAGGTCAAGTCGCAGTTAGATCATACATTTCTTTCTCACAAAAACTTGAATTGCAATGCCAAGTGATGGGCTAACATCACAATAACAGCAATTTATTCCTCTTTTGATAAAAAGCAGCCTGTTCTCAGTGTTAGATAAAGACCAGGGGCAATGCAAACCAACCATTTATCCTAGAACCGAGTAGTATGTCTCCCCTATAGCTGGTATGAGTTTCATATTCAAACTCTTGCTGGAAGATGCTTGTCTAGTAAGAAATCAAAAGCAGTTAGGAGTCGTTTAAAAGTGCTGTGAAGGTGGCTTTAGTTTAATTAGTTTTGGTTTTTTTGTCCCACACACCAGTGCCTTTGTTTTCTCTAAAAATATGTACAAGGAAATCTTTATAATCAACAAAGGAGTGTGAAAAATAGTGAAATATTAAGATTTGTGAACCTTTTATTTTTGAGAGGGCTTGAATGTCTGCTGTACAATAATCTAATAAAGATTGTTAGTTGCCAAAAATATCACCAGTGTCACTGAAAATTGTGTTTTTAGCTCTAAGAAGAAAACAGTTTTACTCAAATGAGTAGCTGATAATTGCTTTTTATTTCTTTAGTGTCTGGCGTTTGAGTTGAAGGCTTTGCACAGGTGCTGCCATCCCTAAAGTGTGTAATTGATGGCTTGTTTACCAAAGATGCATTTAGGCTTCATCCTGCAAACTCACATTGGAACTCCACAGGCAGTAAAGTTACTCATCTACATAAGTGCTTGCAGGTTTGGTCCATGTAGATATTTTGAGAGGTATGTAAGCAAGCTCTCTTCTTGATTTTTTGTTTTAAAACGGGTATTGAGAAGTCACAGATGTAGGATTTACTGTATATGAGGCACTAAAAGAGTTCTTTTTTAGAGACATCTCTCAGTGTCCCTCGTGTTAGTAAGGACTTGATGAATTGTTTCTGAGCTCTGGAATTTTAATAAAAATACAGCGTTTATTAATACATCAAATACCTTTGCTAAGAAAAAGTTAGGCAGTTTATCAAATCATGCTTATAAAATGTAATGGAGCCTTTCATGTGATGTGCTTTAACTAGTCTCTGATGCTTGGTATATTTTTAATGATATAGTTTACTATGCTCTGTAACAGAATATTGAGCTTAATTGCTTTGTGTTTGCAAAGCATTTCAAAGATGAATGACACCATGCAAGAGCTATGCTCTCTTCACCAAGAGGGGAAATGTTAGGCTGAGGCAAGTTTTCCTTCACATATGTTGGTAGTTTTTAAAGCAACGTTGTGTCTTCCTCCTTTCTCAGAAAAAAATGGCAGAGAGAAATTATCTTCTTGTGGACGTCCTTCTCCCTGGGCGCAGCCCTAATGCAGCTGGTGCCACTGGCAGTGAGTTGTGATCTTCAGAATATAAAAGACCAAGAAAAAAATATTCTGTTTCCTGCTGTGAGATCTGGCAAAGGCTTTCTTAAAAATGACTAACTAGTCCTATCTGATAGCATTCTGGGACAATGGGACAAATCTTTCCATTTGGGAAGTAAGTTTGATTTGAAATAAAAAATGTCTTAAGAACGTGGGATGAGGCAGGAGAACTTACTACCCCAGGTACCAGTCCAGCTGCAAAATCCTTATTAGACAAGTCATTCACATTTTGCCGATGGCTTAATGGCTACATGTTTGCGTGAGGAGGGAAGCGGGATTAAAATTGTTCCCCCCATGAAAAGCACCCTTACATCTTGAGCCTGGCTGCATACGGTTTATCAAGCGTTGTATCTCCATTACAACTCTCCTTCGTTGTTCCCTGAACAAAAGAGGATGCAGTGGGTGGAGCTTTTGATCCACCTCTTGATATGGCAGGTGGCACAGCTGATATGGCAGGGGGAAGAGGGAAAAGGCAGCAACACATTGCAAGTCAAACAGAGCAGCGCTTTATTACCATCTTTCACCCGCTCTCCCTAATGCAAGAGGGGAAGTAACCAAGTCCCTGTCTTCTCACAGGGCAAATTATGAATGCATAGTTTAGCCTGGATTTCTTTATGCGTCGTTTTCTTCTTCTTTAAATCAGGAATGAACCGTGATGTCAAACTGCGAATTCCTTTAACTCTTGTGAAACGTTTTGAGACGCTGGTGGAAGGTGCTAGGACAGTGTGCACCAGCGGTTATACCTAAAACATTTTCTGCACAGCATGGTCATCCCGTGTTGTTTCCTCGGATAGAGACGGTTTTGTTGCTTTCTATCTTTTTATTCACTTTTTAGGTTCTCCTGAGTCTGATTAAGATGGTTTGTCATGCCTTCGCTGTCACAAACCAGTAGCCTAACATTGGTTGTAAGCACACCAGCATCTTTTGAAAGATGGTTTTAAAAGCTGATTTTCAATGTTATTCTCATCTGCACTGCAACAGCACTTACGTAACCCAGCCAAAATGAGGGCACCCTGATGCAAAATCCCATAAAGCTAAAAGAAAGCCAATGCATGTCTCAGTGAATTTGCAGCTGAATGTTTAAGTAAAGGGGGGGAGCCCCCCAAACCATGCCCATTCCCCATACGAGGGAACCTGAGGCGCAGAGAGTATTGCTGTCTCTTTTGCCTGTAGCCGTTTAGAAAGCAGCCAATACACTCTAGAACTGACCCCAGATTTTGTGAGACTAAGTGCAGCATCTCCTCTGCAAGATCTGTCTCCCTCCCCGACCTGTGGACTCTGTTCAAACAACTGAATGTAACAAACCTAACTTTTCTTTCCCATTTTTAAAGGGTTTAGCCTATTAAGGTTCCTTGCTTAGTCAGCAGCTGGCTTGCTGCCAAAAAGCCCAGCATATTGTTGTGGCTGGGTAAAAGCTGGATATTTTCCATCTCTGTCCAACAGCGGCATTGGATCTTCATTGTCTTCTCGTGTGTAAAGTGTGTGGAAAGTAGAGGGAAGATGCACGGAGCAGTAGTCCAGATGGCATTCCACAGCCTGAGAAGAAACATCTTGACCCTCGAATCTGGGTTAAACTCAACAGATGCCAAGCCCCCAGAAACAAAGAGCTGTCGTGGCTGACGACAGCGAAGGAGCGATAGGCCTTCAGTAACAGAAAGTATCTTTCATTTTGGATGCATTTCCCTGCAGGTAACCAACACAGTGTCACTTGCGGAAGATTGCTTGTTAAAAACAAAAAGCAAAAAAATAATGGTTCTCCGCATTAGGCACCGTCCCCCTTCAGTCGTAAAATGTTGCCCCCGGGTGATGGGTTATGCTAGCAGAAAAGGATTTGAACGTTCAGCCTGCGTTGTGCCCTGCCAGAGCCTGCGTGCTAAAAGACCTGTTATTTTTTCCTGACTCTGACTTCAATTAATGTACTTTTTAAATGATTAAACATATCATGCTGTGACTTCTAAAATGTCAACAAGCTTCTAAACTTGGGAGACAGGAATGTAATAAAATAGGTAATAGGAGATTCAATAGTTAATAGAGGCCCTGAAGTGTGAGTGTATACAGTAGCTGTATATTGGAAACTGTGCAAATGAAGATGGCTTAGTATTGCAAACTGAGGAAGAAAATTGTTTTTAATTAGCACCTTCATAAGAACTGCTGATTAATACTGTTTGGTTTGGTGAAAAGCTTTCAGCTGAGTAATTTGTACAGCCATTACAACAGTTTTGTTAGACCAGGACTCCTGTTGTTAAACACAAACAGCAGATGATAATGGTGGAAGATGAGTTTGTCATGTAACAATTTACCTTATTGAAAAAAGCTTTATATAAAACCCAATACAGTAGGTACCAGCAGAAATCACATATTTTAAATCCTTTCAAGATTGCAGTGTGCGATGCTAGTGTGTTTTTTCATGGACTAGAAACAGATTTTATATCATTTATAAAATTATATATACAATTTAAAGGTGTTGTAGCATGGACAGACCACTTTACTGGTAATGCTTTACAT